TTTTTTTTTTTGAAAAGTTAACTGTGAAAGACACATAAAATTATCTGGAAAAAAATAATAATTTAATCATCCAATGGACAAGGTGTTGAGCGTCTGAATTTTCTTGGCCTAGTAGGACACGCATCCTTTGAATTGTTGACCGTTAATATATCTAAAGGTTTAAACTTGCTACGGAGGAATAATCTTAGGAGTTGTTTGGGATGACTTAAATAAGTGTATTTTTTGTTTTTTTATGAAAAGATGTGTAGAAAAGTAGAGAGATGATGTGATGGAAAAAAATAAAAAGATAAAAAGTGTGTACTTATTTAAGATAGTCAAACTTGACTTTAATATTATATTCTTGACAAGACGATGTACAAAGATTATTATGAAGTTTGAACATATTATCTAGTGAAAAATTTCTCCGGTAAAAATCAAATGTAAATAGAAATTTTAGGACTTCATAATTATTTCAAAATTTCACCCTTATTATAATTATATAAAAAAAAATCTCCATTTCTCCTAATATTTTTCTCTAAATATCTTTTTTCTAAGAGAGAAAGAAAGAAAAAAAATGAAATGTAAATAAAATATACTTATATTTCACATTCCAAATCCTCTAACCAGACATATTGTAAATGACTTTGTTGTATAGCACTACTTAAAAATGACCTCTAGAGCATTGACTCTATTTAAGTCTCACTTCAAAGATCATCCTATGATCATATTTGTTTAGCTTCATAGGTAAGGAGATTAGACTAATAATCCTGTAGGTTTTACATAACCTATATTTGGTTGGCAAAAATAAAAGAAGACTAGTAGTCCCATGGGACAACGTACCCCATGTGGTGAGATTAGATTTCTCATGGAAGGGGTGAGATTGGTAATCCAAGCCCATTGGATTAGGTATAAAAAGAAAATTTTTCCCTTAATATTACGAAAACAACAAAGCATTATAAATTAACATATTATTGTTTACGTAATTTTATATATATTAATTAATATATTATTATTATTATTAATTTTATTTATTAATTACATTATAAATGTTAAAAATTTCTTAAATTATTTTATATCATCAATTGATACACTAATTAATACACTAATTAATACATATAACATTATTCTTTTTGAAAGTCAATGGACAAGAAAAAAATTCTGAAATTGTTTCAAAATATATAATAAAAATTGTTGTTGTGAAATAATGAAATAAATTTTTGAATTTTTTTTACATGAGTGTATATTTAGAAAAATATTTTTAACTTAATGACAGATTTTATAAACAGTAAAAAAGTAAAATCATAAATTTGTACGTAAATTTTAAAAATACCTCTCACACGTAATTTTTTTTCTAAATTCTTAAATTAAAATTTGAGAACAATTTTTTTTAAAAAAAATTTGTAGTGTTATTAATTTTTTCTATAAATCCCCCATCACATCTGTTTTCAGTCCAGCAAACCCCCCTTGTTTTTGGGTCATCACATTCACAGCAGCCATGTTAGACCTGGAGCTCTCAATTTCTTTGCTCCTTTGCCTTTTCTCCTTACTTTTCTTCTTCTTCATCATCAATTCCAAGTCTATTTTCACAAGCTTTTGTTCCTCCAACAAGTCCGCTAAGAGTCCAAGATCATACCCACTTATCGGCTCTTTCCTCTCATTCTATGCAAATCGAACCCGACTCGTTCAATGGACATCAGATATTGTGACCAGCACATCCACTTCCACCTTCGTCCTTCACCGCCCTTTGGGCCGCCGCCAAGTCTTAACTGCCAATCCTTCCAATGTTCAGCATATTCTCAAGACCCATTTCCATATCTACCAAAAAGGCGAATTCTTTCGAACACACATCTTCGACCTACTTGGCGATGGCATCTTTAATGTGGACGGCGAGAACTGGAAGTTCCAGAGACAAGTTGCTAGCCATGAATTCAACACCAAATCTTTACGCAAATTTGTCGAAACTGTTGTCGACACGGAGCTCTCAGATCGCCTCATTCCTATCTTCTCCACCGCAGCTGCGAACAAAACTGTGTTTGATCTTCAGGACATTCTTCAGAGATTCGGATTTGACAACATATGCAAGATTGCTTTCGGACACGATCCTGCCTATTTGCTGCCATCTACACCATCCAATCAAGCCAAATCTTATACCTTTCATCTAAACCAAAAACTTTTATCCTCCTCACCCCACCAAACATCCACTTGTTCTTTAGTCTAGGTTTCCTACAGCTTCCTACACCACAACAATTCATTTAAACAAATAAAATACATGCACACCACGATTTTTTTTTATCAAACATGCCTCATTCCTTCAAAACATTTTATAAGAAACCCCATATTCAACCTTTCTAACAATTCAGGCCTTTTTTTTGAACTCTTACATTCATAATTTCTCTTTTTTTCTTCTAATCACAATTTTATTTTAGAAGACACAGTGAACAAATGATTTCATTAAAATATCACAAGACAATTAAAGCATTAAAAATAGTCTTAGGGGTTGTTTGGGATGATTTAAATAAGTGCACTTTGACTTTTTATGAAATATGAGTTGGGTTTGGGTTGAGTTTGAAGTGATGTGTTAGAGAAGTGATGTGACTTAAATAAGATGATGTGATTTAAATAGGATAGTGACTTTTTGACTTTTTATCTTTTTTCAATCATGCTAAACTTAGCCTAGTAGTTAAAAAATAAAAAGAAAATTTGTTGGCGACTAAACAATTAGTAGCCACACACTCATCCAGTGTTCCAGCCAGGTTCGAGGATTTTCTTAGGAAAGGAGATGGCGTTCTTGCAGATGAAGAGGGTGGTTTCTGGTGTCTTGCGGCGGTTTCGAGTTGTGCCAGCTTTTGAGGAAGGTGAAGAGCCTATTTTAATAGCTCATCTGGCGTCCAAGATGAAAGGTGGTTTTTCGGTGAAAATTGAGGAGAGGGTTGAGAAGGATTTCTGACGCCGGCGACGTTGCGGCTGTAGCCGTTGCAACAGTGTGAAGACTTCTATATATATGGAATAATTATTTGGTCTTTCGAGGTATCACCCTATAGCAAAATTATACAATAGTCCCAGTACCAAGTTGTGGAGTCAGGATCCTCTCTAGTCCCTCCTGTTGACTTTTCTACTCATATAAAAATAATATAAAAGAATAATAAAATATGAACGATTAGCACATAGTCACCGCACACATGTGAATTGTTTGGAATCACCCAAATAAATATATTTTTTATTTTTTTATAAAAATAATATGTAAAAAAATAAAAAAAAATAATGTAATAAAAAAAATAAAAAGATAAAAAAATAAATTATTTTTAAATTATCAAACTTGACGTTAATAATTTTTCCTGAATAGGACTTATTGATCTGAATCTGTCCTACACGATGTATTGTTGTTTGTATATCTCAGGCCCCTGCAACTATATGCCCTTCAACGTTAACTATGTGAAGGTAAGTCAAAAATATGGCTATTAACTCAAGGCTGTTTGGTAATTTGGTAAAGGCTTGGGGTTAAGATCTTAGTCTCAAGTTCAAAATCCCTTGGTCTAATCTGTTGGGCGTAGGGTAGTTGGTTAGGAGGTTGACCTCAAGTTATTGCTATCCCAGCACTTAGTGTGAGCACAATGCTCGAGTCCTGACTTAAGCGAAACTTGTCTTGGGAGGTTGGGGTAAGTTCCCAAGTTATAGTCTCCTATCTCGGAACGGATAATAGGATACCTTGGTAATTTCTGCAAAGAGCGCTGCCCTGAATCTACGGGAGAGTGGGAGGAATTTCCTAGAACAAAAAATAAATAAATAAAAAATGAAAATAAATAATGACTATGGTCTTATAGAAGTGTGATAAAAGTTACGTTGGGAAATATATATTAATGATTGTGATTTTGAATCTGGGCCTCATCATGTGTTCTGGTTCTTTTATTTTTTATTTTTTTAATATAAATACGACAAATTGAATAGACAAGGATTATCAGATTGATTTAATTTTTTGATGAATGACATAGTGATGCAGTGCTGATCGAAACAAAAGTAACAATCTTAAGATCCGTTGATTCACACAAGAATACCGGAAATAAGACTCCTCTTTAGACCCGTTGATTCCCAAGAATACCGAGTTTAAAGGCTCAACCAAAGTTGATTCACACAGAATTAACCAAAGTTGGAACAAAGAGTAATAAAACTCAAAATATATTAATCATCAAAAAATGCTAGAGCCCTAAGGCTTTACACCCACTATTTATAAGAAAAACAGAGGCTAACTCTACGAAGCAACACAGGTTTGGAAGGCAAAAAAGGCAACTAATAAAATATAATAAACTAAGGCAACAAGGCAAAACTAATAAAATATAAGACAAATAAGAAGGCAATTGTCAAAAGTGAACATAATAATAAAATAATGGTAACTAAAGCAATGGTCATGGATGGATTTGCTTGCTGTGCTGGTCACGAATTGCCAAAAGTGAACATAATCATAAAATAATGGCAACTAAAGCAATGGTCATGGATTTGCTTGCTGTGTTGGTCACGAATAGCTTGCGGCTTGCTGTGCTGGCAATGTGCTGGCTGTGTCATCCTTCCCTGGATGGAGAGAATTCGCCATCGAATTCGCAGCCTCGTTGGTGGTGGTGTCACTGTGATACGGAATGAGGTATCGAACGTTGAACACATCGGAAGTACAAATATGACTAGGCAACTGCAAACGGTAGGCATTTGAATTGATTTTCTCCAAAATTGCAAGGGGCCCAATTTTTCGTGCTGCCAACTTGTTATATTCACCGGCTGAAAACCTGTCTTTTGTAAGAACTGCCCACACTAAATCGCCAACTTCAAATTCGACCAATCGACGTTTCTTGTCGGCTGTCAACTTATACTTGGCGACTGATTGTTGTAAGTTGGACTGGGTTAATTTGTGCACCTCCTGAAGGTTGTGAATCAACTCTTCTGCCTTCCCATTTATGCGCTTTAAGTCTAGCACAGGTACTAAATCCAGCGGGGCCCGAGGCTGGTAGCCATAATTGACATAGAAAGGACTAAAACCCGTACTTCGATTTACAGAGCGATTGTAAGCGAACTCTGCTTAGTGCAATTTGTGATCCCATGATTTCAAATGATCCGTTACTAAACATCGTAACATGTTGCCCAAAGAACGATTGACAACTTCTGTCTGCCCATCTGTTTGAGGGTGATAGGCGCTACTGAAATCAAGCTTTGTGTTAGCCAAGCGCCACAGACATCTCCAAAAATGACTAAGAAATCGGGTGTCCCTGTCTGATACAATGGACTGAGGGAGCCCATGTAAACGATAGATTTCTCGAAAATATAATTGGGTCACATTTACAGCATCCGTCGTCTTTTTGCACGCAATGAAATGGGCCATTTTTGAGAACCTGTCTACGACTACATAGATGGAGTCACAACCTCGCTGAGTGCGTGGGAGTCCCAAAACAAAGTCCATACTAACGTTAGTCCATGGCTGGTTGGGCACGGGTAATGGCATGTATAAGCCTGCGTTGGTTGCGGATCCTTTGGATACTTGGTAGATGCGACACCCGTCCACAAGCTTGAAAATTTCTTTCCTCATAGAAGGCCAAAAGTAAGAACCAGCCACAAGCTGCAGAGTTTTGTCACGCCCAACATGGCCTTCTTCATGCAACTCCTTGATAATTCTCAATCGAAGACTTGATGCAGGCACACACAATTGGTTGCCTTTGAAGAGGAATCCATCATGGAGAAGAAAGTCCGACCTCTGACCTGATTTAACTTCCGCCACAATACAAGAGAAATAGGGATCAACAGATAATAGTTCTCGAAAGGAATCGAATCCAAGTACTGTATTTCTCATAGTAGTAAGTAGAAAAGAACGGCGGCTAAGTGCATCAGCCACTTTGTTCAAGGCCCCTGATTTATGTTTAATCACAAAGGTGAATTGCTATAGATATGCTGCCCAATTGGCGTGCCTTGAAGAAAGTTTGTCTTGGCTGTTGATGTGCTTCAACGCATCATGGTCAGAAAATAAAATGAATTCACTTTGGGACAGATAAGGATACCAATGTTTCAGGGATTGGACAATGGAATAAAATTCTGCATCATAAGTGTTGTAGTTGCCTTTGGAACCGCTAAGCTTCTCACTGAAATATGCAATTGGACGACCCCCTTGGCTTAAAACAGCCCCAATGCCCACTTTAGATGCATCACAGTATAGCTCAAAGGTTTTAGCAAAATCTGGTAATATGAGGACTGGTGCTGAAGTCAATTTTTGTTTGAGTTGCTGGAATGCTTCTGTTGCTGCCTCTGTCCAATAGAATTGGCCAGCTTTCATGCAGTCCGTAATTGGTGCCATAATGGTACTGAAATGGGGAATGAACCTCCGATAGAACGAAGCCAACCCATGAAAGCTTCGTACGTCGTGAATGTTTTTTGGTACTGGCCAGTCACGAACTGCATTTACCTTGCTTTCATCTACAGAGAGGCCATCTTTAGATACGACATAACCGAGGAACACAACAGTATCGGTTAAAAAGGAACACTTGTTGGTGCCAACATAAAATTTTGCTTCCTGCAGTACTGATAGAACCTGGCGCAAGTGCTGAAGGTGCAATTCATTATTAGCGCTATAAACCAAAATATCATCAAAATAAACAACAACAAACTACCCGATAAAAGGCCGAAATAGTTGGTTCATCACGCGCATAAAGGTACTGGGAGCGTTTGATAAACCAAATGGCATGACTAGCCACTCATAAAGGCCCTCTCGAGTCTTGAAGGCTGTCTTCCATTCATCACCTTCCCGAATCCGAATCTGGTGGTAACCACTTTTCAGATCCAATTTGCTAAACACGGTTGCTCCACTTAACTGATCTAATAAGTCATCCAACCGAGGTATGGGGAACCTATATCGGATGGTGATCTTATTAATTGCTCTACTATCGACGCACATGCGCCACGAGCCATCTTTCTTGGGGGTCAATAGTGCAGGTACGGCACATGGACTGAGGCTTTCTCGGATGTGTCCTTTGGCTAACAATTCCTCCACTTGTCGGCGAAGTTCCTCATGCTCTTTTGGACTCATGCGGTAGTGGGGTCTATTTGGCAAATTTGATCCTGGAAGCAAATCAATTTGATGTTGTATGTCTCGCATGGGTGGTAACATTGGGGGTAACTCCTTGGGAAATACATCATGGAACTCTGCAATTAGAGCCTTCACAGGCTCAGGAATCTTACTCTCTATGGCACTGTCTTTTCCTACTAGTACGAACACCATTCCCGTTTCAGCCACCTCCTCCAAGAACCGGTGCATAGACAATAAGCTAGAACTCTTCTCAGTGGTTAGCTTTGGTGCTTCCTCTCCATGAGGTTCAAGAACAATACGGATCTTGTTAAATACAAAGGAGCAAGTGTTCTTTCGTCCATTGTGCAATACGTCGCGGTCAAATTGCCAAGGCCTTCCTAATAATATGGCAAGCATCCATCTGAACCACATCACACCATACCTTGTCCCTGTAATTAGAACCAATAGATAATGGGACTAAACAACGCTTGGAAACCGTTACCTTCTTGCCTTTCTGAAGCCATGACAGTTTGTAGGGGTTGGGATGTTGGCTTGTACTTATTCCCAATTTTGCTACAGCGTCCTCCGCAATGACATTCTCACAACTTCCGGAATCAATTACGAACTTGCACACCTTCCCACTAATGGTACACGTGAATTGGAAGATGTTTCGTAACCACCCATTCCCTTCAACCTCTCGAGGTGTATAGCAAGCCCTGCGCACAACCAATAGAGGACCCTCATCGCCGGCAACTCGTTCTTCCTTGTCATAAATACTAACTTCGGAGTCATTAGTAGTATCTTGCAGAACTTCATTAGTCCCATCTTCGACAATCTCTTCGCTATCTATAAATAGGCCTTTGCCAACCCGGTCACTTTTTCTGCAATCTGCAGCGCGATGACCAACTTCTCCATACTTAAAGCAACGCATACCACTACTAGTAACAGAGTTCATGTTTGACTGTCCTCCTGAAGGTTTACCAACCGTATCAGATTGTGTGGTGCTCCACCGTGCCCCTGGAAGGTTCATACTCGTATTTCGGTTCAT